GGGGCCCTGCAATAACCCCAGCTAGCTCCCTCAACACCCTCACGCACTCATCTGGATGCACCCATAGAGTCATAGATTGTTAGGGCCTGAAAGGGACCTTGCAAGATCATTGGGTCCAGCACCCCTGCACAAGGCAGGTTCTCAGTAGTACCTCCTCCTTTCCTCCCTATTTCTCTATACTTTCTATTTAAATTACCTGATCCCTTTTTATCAGTCCCCATGCCCTCTGCAAGTCCATTCATAGCATGTGATGAAGTAAGCTGTAGCCTACAAAAGTTCAAGCCTATCTGAACAAGTCTATAAGGTGCCACGCTGCCCTGCCTTTTGCCTAGCTTTAAGCTAGCTAGCTCAGCTACAAGCAGCCCAGACTTCAGTGTGGGTTGCACAAGCCTGTCCAAGACTCTAATTCAAGACTTCTAAGCAGCTGGGAGCTCCACACCCCATAGTGAACACCCCAGGCTGCATGCCATATGGATACCCTTACCACTGCAGTATGCATCCACACCCTCCCCCAGTGCAGTACATGCCTGGAACGCCCCACCATTGTAACATGCACCACTGCATGTCCCCACCCACCACTGCAACATCTGTGTGGATGTCCCATCACTGCTGCAGTATAATGCTACAAAGAAATTCCTCTTGGAAAGAGGAACATTTTTTTTTGTGGCAGATCTGCCACTTTTGTGACACTACAGATAGCTTGAATGTTTGGACACTCATTTTTATAGTGCTATAAGGGTGCTTGTAGTGCTACATGTATAAGTCCACAACCTCAGTGTGATCTTTTCCCCCTTTGGGTAACTGGCCACATACAGTGAACAATGAACTTGCCAAACACTTGGCTAACTGAGCAAAACCTTTTAGTCAAGGAATTAGGGCCTGCTTTAAAATTGAGAGTCCCGGATTCAAATTCTGCTATAAGTGACCCATCCAGAGGTCTGGTGCTATATCAGTGCTCAATACAATCTAATCAAGGGATAAACAGTTTTAACATGCTATATCTTCTTTAATTCTCTTGCAAAAAAGGTCTGGGTCTATCAAATCTCAAAAGTCAGATGCTTTGTTGTTCTGCAGATAACATGGTTCAACATTTACCTGAAATCTTAAAAGTTTAAAACATAAATTCACTAAAGTTTAATCACTGATGACAGCTGGAAAGAAAAATTGAAGCAGTAAGTTTTCAAGCTTTTTTTCAAAACCATTTATAAGAATCAATTACTCATTTCACCTTGAATATAAAGTTTATTCTACATAGAATAAATCAGAGTTTTAAACCTCACAAATGAATTTAACACAACATATCATATTTGTTGTATTTGATCAAATATTATATTTTAGCACACAGATCTTAGATATTGGTTGAATGAAGACAGTGTGGACCAGCTGCACTCAGTAACCTGATTCATGAGCTCAAAATGAGGATATTTTCAAACACAACATTAATACAGTAAGCTTAGGATTTTTAGCAGTTGATGATTATTAGGAAGCATAACTCATGCAGAAAAATATTCTCTTAACACAGATCTGAAGATTAATTTATAATGGTGTCAAAATATACTGGAAACAATATAGTCTGTGTGAACTCCATCAATCAGCCCTGCACCACTGTTATGAACAAACCAGCAAGGGATATCAAGGCCATGCCTGGTATCTTTTCTGTAATCTTTCTGCCACCCCCTGAAAGAGAAAACATTATTGTTCATAGCAGAACACAACCTACACATTAGCAAAATAATGTTTGATGAAGACTTAATTATTATTTACCTTGTTACTGTCAGTTCATTGTTTTTGACAATCATTGTGGCATCCGGTTTCTTGGGATCAGACCCAGGATGGATTTCAACTATATTAAAGTCAATTGGGTGGAAAAATTGACCTAAAATAAGAGGCAATATCAACAGTTAGTAAAATTTCATAACTTATGAGTTTTTTTAAAAGTTATTTAAGTTCGTACATTGATTTTCAGACTCTCTGAAGGATTTAAGGTCCAAAAGCCAATTTTTCAACAAAATGCCAAATTTGCGCACACAGAATTTGTGGATACCTTGATTTTTTACATGTAAAATGAGCAACTGCATAAGCAAATATTTCATGTTAAATTGAGTCTGTATGTGATAGTACTTGCATTGTACAAACTGGAATTTTATACATGTAATGTGGATACACCTACAAACATAAATGCCTTTTTAGAAGCCCACTGGAAATCTGACCCAGAATATCTATTAAATAATAATTTATGCTTCGCAGCACCTTTGATTCTACTCTCTCAAAGAACTTAATGAACAAATCTTCAAAATATCCTACAAGGTATATAAATTTTGTTTGAAAATGCTAACCAAACAGTTCTCCCACAGCGTCTCAGGAAAACGAGGGTGTCAGTTGAGGGCTTCAGCTGCCTGTATACCAATGCCAGGACCATGGGGAATAAGCAGGAGGAGCTAGCCCTATTGCTCTCTAGTGGGCAATATGACCTGGTAGGAATCACGGAGACCTGGTGGGACTCCTCACATGAGTGGAGCATAGCTGTAGAGGGCTACACCCTGCACAGAAGGGACAGAGTAGGGAGAAAAGTCAGAGGGGTAGCTCTGTACA